CATTGTAACTTGTTCCCTTTCAATAACTGAGGTCTATTTGAAAATGTTTTTGCCTTACTATCACAAATATGATAGGTTGACATGGAAAGTCAATTTTTAAAGAAAAATTGTCATTATAACTTGGACGTAGATTAACATGCTTGCTATTGCCTATTAATGCCCTCATCAGTATATAACCAAACTATTTGAGGAAAATGAGTTAACTCTCATTCCCAAGCAATAAAGAAATACAGTCAACCCTATCTTATGAAAATAGGTTAATGTGCCTATATCCTTCTAACTTTGTTAAAAAAAAAAAAAGTGGTGTCAGGATCAAATTGTTGGATCATGAATGAAGTTTCTTTCTTAAATCATTATTTGCCTAAGAGTTTAAGTACTCTAATATACCAAACCTGACTTGTTCCTTTCTGATAATTATTCTGAAATCAGTCATTTGCATGGTGGAGTTTCTGGGGATATGGTCTCTCAGTGTCTGGCAAAGAAAATCGTAAACACGTAGCAAGAAAAGAAACCATGGATAGATGAAATCAAAATCATACACTTTTCCAAATTACAGCTTAAGTGTTCATATCACCTAAGTAATAATAAAGCAAGGTCAGTCTTTAGAAGAAAGAGACAATTCTCTATTAACTATTCAACACAGTGAATCTTATGCTCTGAGTAATATGAACATTTTGATAGAAGTAGAAAATGTATCCTTATATAAAGTTAAAACAGATCATTTAGTGATATTATATGTAAGTGTAAGCTACTATCCACACAGTATAGCAAAAATAATGTACAGATTATAACAAAATATATGTATCTTCTTTTATTGGTATGTTTTAGCCTTCAGTTCAGGGGAGAATCACTTGAACTTCTTTTACTTTATAAGTTTTACAAAGATTTAAGATATATGCTTTAGCATATCATAAGCAAGCATGAGGCCAAATATATCTGTACCCCAAATAAGTACTCAATGATTTATCTTGGTAAGAATTTTTTTGAAATGTCTAAATTGGTATATATCATTAATATGTTTGGAGTAAGTAAAAGAGTAGCTTTTTCCTATGAAAACAACTCAAATTTTATAAATGCAAAATTTAAATGTTGAGTCATATAACTATATTTAATAATCTATACATATAATATATACATACATAAAATACATATATCTTGAGAAAGCATTCTAAAACTGCATAGAGTAAAACTTTTCAACTGTAAGCATTAAAAATTTAGGTTAATTTTACATCAATAGCACCAATTAAAAATCTGTACAAAATATTTTCACAACCAAAAGAATTTATCCAAAGCCAGTGTTAATCTACTCTGACATGGATAATTATCAGTAAGATGTACAACACTGCAGTACTGAGTTAGTTTTTGGTCTTTAGTTTGATCTTCATACATATATCAAGCCAAAATCATTTTACCTTTATTATCCCTTTGGAATTTTTTTATGCTTTGTCCATTATCTTGGCCAACGATAAGTTCTTCTCTATTGTTGGGTATCATAACTAAAAAATGAAAAAGGGGAACTGGGTATACTTTCATGCAAAATACCCAAAGAAATGCATAAAAACACGTAAATGGCTGACACACTCTAGCAACTTATATGGATTTTTTATACTTCTGGAGCATAAGAAAAATTTGCTATAATAGCCCAAGTATCTTGAATATCAGTAAGATGATTAATCATGCAAAATTTAAAGTATATTCACACTTAGTGCTAGCACTGTCTAATATATACTATTTAAATCATGTATGCATTTCTTATTTTAAAACATGCATGTAAATTAGTATTTAGCTCCATAAATAATACTTTTCTCAAAAAACATTTCAGAAAACAATTTATAAGTTAATAAATGATGAAGTTAAAATAATTATGCCTTTAAATTACTGAGGAAAGTTTTTTAAATATATACAAAATTGACATAGTAGAATATAATTTTCTGATACTTATTGTAAGTGTTTACAAAACATTTAGATTTAAAGAAGAAAAACATACAATTTTTTAATTTACCATTTTATTCTCTGTAGTGCTATTTCATTGAAACATTACAGCTCTATAAATAAGATGCAATCATTTACAGCTAAAATCTATTAAACCTTTTCATTCCATCGTAGATAACACTTCTATCATGGTTGGACAACTGTGAACTGTGCATACAGTGGCCAACCACTGTCAGTAGAATTACATGTGCACTATTTTTCAATAACTTTTCTAAGATAGTATAGTGCCTATGAAATATTTTTGTTTATTTTGCAGTATAAGTTACCTATTCTCCTGTGCCATAACATTTGGCAAGTACGTTTCTGTTAAACTTTCATCCAGCACTCAATAATAGATTATCTCTTTCTCCTGCATAGATAGATACAGATTATATAGAAATAAACAGCTTCCATATTTTCTTTCAATATTCCAATACAAAAATTGTTCCAACAGTATAATATATGCTTTAGCTTCTTGATTCATTCAATTTTTTCAGTTAGTCAGATTTCCTATAATCACTTGTATTCAAGTTTATAAAACAAGGTAGTCTCTGTCCATAAAGTAAAGGAAATACTAAATTTCTCTTTCTGGAATATAAAATTTTGTCATTAAAGAACAAAATTCTTTTTTTTTTATTTTTTATTATCTTTCTGGAATATAAAATTTTGTCATTAAAGAACAGAATTCTTTTTTAAAATTTTTTATTAATTAGACTTTATTCATTTTGTATCCCCCCATAAGCCCCTCCCTCCTCCCCTACCAATCCCACCCTCCCTCCCTTTTCTGCATGCATGCCACTCCCCAAGTCCTCGATAGGGGAGGTTCTCCTCTCCTTTCTGATCTTTTCTTAATGCGTTATTCATCATTTCTTTAACATCACTGTGTATTAAGATCTCCAAAAGAGATATTGAAAAGCCATGCATGTTGCTGCTCAAACTGTGTTCCAGATCAAGTGAATTAAATTCATAGTGTATTACAAAAACTGTAAAAGTGATTATAATATAGAGCTTTGTTTAAGAATCACCAAGCTAACTACAAAACTAGAAACACAGACAATATATAATGCTGATAAACATAGACTTGGATAAAGTTTCACAAAAGAGAAAGCATCTTTATCTTTACATAGTACAAATCCACAACAGAATACATATCCTAATCGCCTAAATTCCTGTCCTTCAAAATCTAATTGTTTTTACAGAGCTTAAAACAAGCACTACTATGAGCTGTGAAAAAAATCTAAAGGACATAAAACATCTCTGGATATAGATTACAGGCAAAAAAAAATGCAGAAATCATGTCCATTAAAGAAAATATATACATAAGTTACTGGATTTTGGATTGTGTAGATATGGAAGAGTTATGAACGTTTTGACAAACAAAAAAGTTAATCTTTGTTTTATACAGGAAATTTATTGTAATTGAGTGTTCTTGACAATTTGTCTATAGATGAGTAAGATCATAGAGAATGAAAGGTTATACAAAGAAAAAATAAAAACAAAAGCATATCTGTCTCCTCATATTCTCTTAGAAATTTGAGTTTCAGAATTCTTTTTTTCACAGATAGTCTAGGTTTTATGTTCTCAAAACAATTCAGTACAACATGTATGCAAGTAAATATTTCCATATTATAGAGCTAGGCATTAATAATGTTTAAATGGCTTGCCTAAGATTTTTTAAATTTCTATTTTTATATTAATTGCAGTTTTTTCACTTTGTATCCCTCCCTCCTCCATTCCCAATCCCAAGCTCCATCTTTCATCAACTCCTATGCCCCTCTCCAAGTCCATTGATAGGGAAGGTCCTAGATTATCTGACCCTAGATTATCCAGTCTCATCTATACTAGTTGGCTAAGATTTTTAAAGATAGCTACTATAATATCATATGGACAGATTCAGGTGTCATATAGGCTCTATCACAACCAATTTATAAAATGGAAATCTTATGAAACAAAAATATAGATAAAATATTTTCCAACATTATGATATATAACTGTCTAAAAGATATTTTATCTCAAATATCCTAGAGATGTGCCTATTATAACTATAGTGTCTAATAATAAATAGTGCATACCAACATATTTATCTAAGATACATACCGCACCAAAAAAAAATATCATGGTGTCAGGCCCATGAGACTGATAAATATATTAAGGAAAGGCCTAGTGGGGGTAAGAAAATTGTGACAATTTCCAGTGCTTCCTGTATTGCTTCACAAACCAGGGTTACTTCTAAAGGCATTTATATTAAAAAAAAAAAAGGGACATTTTTGTGTGTGTGTGTGTGCCAGATGTATATTTTATTAAGACTTACTGAACAACCCTATAAAGTCCTGTTATTTTTCTGAGTTTGTGAGTCTGGAATCCAGGGCTTGGAGAGTTGCTTCTGTCACAGAACTGCTTATTGGCATGGCTGTCATTTGACCCCTTTCCCTGATTGTCCTCTGAGGGAACAAGATGGCTTCTGGGCCATGGAGAGTCAGACCAAGACTGAGGAACAGTCTGTATTGGGAAGATGACACAGCCCAGTATTTTAAATATTTGATAAATTTGCTTTTAATTTTACTCATAGGGCAGGGCATTATGCTGTTCCCTGGAACTTCCTAGGAATAAAGCCTAGTTTACAAACAATGACAAGCGATAGAAAGTGTCTGACACTCTCAGAGTTTCACAGTGACCAGGCTGAGAGACAAGGCAGACCTCACTGGATGGATGATGTCAGTGGGCTTTGGCTCCAGATCATTCTGTAATATTCCATCCTCCAGTCTTCTGAGTGACCTCACCTGCAGCTCCTAGACCTCTGCTTCATCTCAGGGTCCCTGAGCTCATCAAAGTAGGATCATGACTCAGTTACATTCTCCAGAGAGCTGAAGGTATACTCAGATGTGTCTGTATTGCTTCACAAAGCAGGATTACTTCAAAAGGCATTTATATTAAAAAGGGGACACTTTCTCCTTGATTTCCTTCTGTGTCACTTGTGTAATATGGAATTGCATAAAAGACTATCTTCCACATTCTTGCTTTGGACAGACACTCACCCATTCTCTCCGAATTATGATCCATCTGGGAAGGAGAGCTGGACACACTGCTGCTTGGGTCGGAAGAGGTGTGGCTCCCAGGACGATGACTCTCATCCAGAGAGAGAGCAGGGGAAGGACTCTCTTGGATCCGCTCCTGATACAAAATTAAACAGAAAAGGATTCACATAAGTGCAAAAATTTTCATGAATGTTTTCACAATAATGTTGGAAATATGTGCTTCTCACATATCCTGAAAGAATGCACAGCACACTTAAGTATTTTAAAAAAATCTAACAGATTTAATGTGTCTGGCTTTATGTTGAGTTCTTTGATCCACTTGGACTAGACTTTAGTGCAGGGTGATAAATATGGGTCTACTTGTATTTTTCTACATGTAGACCACTAGTTAGGCCAGCAGCATTTGTTGAAGATGAAATCAAAAGATGCTCAACCATACAAGGACATTTGTGCAACTATGTTCCTAGCACTTTTGTTTATAATAGCCAAAATCTGGAAACAACCAAGATGTCCCTCCACTGATGAATGGATAAAGAAATTGTGGTACAAATTTTATACAGTGGAATACTACTCAGCAATTAAAAACAAAGAAATCATGAAATTTGGAGGCAATGAATGGAACTAGAAACGATCATCCTGGTGAGGTGACACAGAAGAAGAAAGACACAAATAGTATACACTCACTTATAAGTGGATATTAAACATATAATGTAGAATAAACATAATATCTATAGTACTAAAGAAGCTAAACAACAAGGGAAGAGGCTTAATCCTCATTTAGAAGGGCAAACAGGATACACATCTGAAGGAGGAGAAGACAGGAATAAGGACAGGAGCCTTCCATAGGAGGTCTCTGAAATACTCTACCCATAAGGAAATTGAAGCAGATGCTGAGATTCACAGCCAAACTGTAGGCAAAAAGCAGAGAATCTTATGGAAGAAGGGGGAGAGAGAAAGACCTGGAGGGGACAGGAGTTCCACCAGGAGACCAACAGAGCATAAAAACCTGGGCCAAGGGAGGCTAGTAGAGACCAATACTCCAACCAAAGATGATGCATAGATAAGACCTAAAACCCCTACTCAGATGAAACCCATAGGCTTCTCAGTTTCCAAATGGGTACCCTATTAAAGAGTCTCTGACATGATCAGTGGCTGACTCTTGGTCACTTAACCCTGGAGGGTATAAACTTGCCAGGCCCCAGAGGAGGAGTATTTAGGCAGTCCTGATGAGACCGGATAAGATAGGACCAGATAGAAGGAAATAATGTCCTCCCCTATCAGTGGACTAGGGAAGGTGTATAGAGGGAGAAGAGTGAGGATGGGTGGGACTGAAAAGAGAAAAGGGCAGGGGCTACAGCCATGATACAAAATGAATAAATTGTTATAAATAATAATACAGTTCAAAAATACTTTAAAAAATCTTTTGAGAAATAAGTGGCAAGTTATTAGATTTAAATAGAAATTTGTGGCTGAAAGGAAGTTAGGTTAAGTATTCTTTCCTAAAATTGCATAAATGGGAATATGAAGAGTTAGGTACCTCAGTAGAACAAGTGCTGTGTTTATGCATAGGACCTGAATTCAGATTCAAAGACTCCACATACAACAGAGCCAAAATACCTGTGCCCAGGGGAACTGGCAGAGCCCGAAACCCCAACCAAGGACCATGCATGGTGAGGACTTAGACTCTTGTTCAAAGAAAGCTCATAGGCTATTCAGTTTCTAAGTGAGTTGCCTAGTAAAGGGTGAAGGCACTGTCTCTGACATGAACTCAGTGGCGAGCTTTTTGATCACCTTCCCCTGATGGTGGGTGCAGCTTTACCAGGCCACAGAGGAAGATGATGCAACGAGTTCTGATGAGACCTGATAGATTAGGGTCAAATAGAAGGGGAGGAGCACCTCCCCTATCAGTGGACTAGGGGAGGGGCATACAGGGAGAAGAGGGAGAGCTCTACAGCCAGGGTACAAATTGAATAAATTGTAATAAATAATAATAAAGGAAAAATCATGAGACGCAATAATGTGTTTTACAAACTGGGAATACAGTCTGTCATTGTCAATTTTTTTAGCATTGCTTAAAGCTTAATATTTTAAATAATCAATTGTAATAAAAATCAATAATTTTATATGCTTTCATACTATCTGGTATGACTTCTATAATTTATTCATATAATAATTTCTGTGAAATAATGAATATATTCAATATCTTTATGAATTTCATACTTACAAATCAATCTGTACATTAAGTTAAAATTATCCAATATGAAAATTAAATTGTAGTGTTTATGCATATATAGAAAAATATGATTCACCAATATAAATGCAGAGATAGTGAATGTTCTGTAAAGTGTTTACTTCACCCATAATAAATTCCTTACACTAAATGCTTTGTCTAATTCTCTGTAATTACATTATCAACATTCCTATCCTTATAATGTTAAGAATTAGTTTATCAATTTTCTGCTTGTATATTTTCACATTGTTTTCGTATGACATCCTTTAAATTTATAAATCACAGGAAGAAAAGCTTGAACTTAAAATAATTAAATGATAATTAAGTTATCACTTTATTTAGTAATTAACATTTTAAAATATCTGTCATTTCAGCAGGCTGGATGTTGCCACTTTCCTTTCAAAGATGGCTATTTTATATCTCAATTGCCAGGAAATTGAATATATATTATACATTATATTACATAGCCAAAGGGACTGCACAGATGTGATTGAAAATATTACATTAAGCTTATTATATTAGTTTCAATGAGTCTTATTTTATCGAAAGATTTTCAAAAAATTTCAAAGATCAAAAAAGAGAGTTAGAATGATTCAATATTGTTGGCATGGGAGGTAAAACAGACCATGAGTCAAGAAGCAAAATGGTTTGTAGAAGCTGAAAAAGACAAAGAAACATTCACTTTGGGGGCCTAGAAAAAAGAATATAGGCTTGTTTGCGCCTTGATTTTGGCCTCATTAAACCCTATCTTATTTTTTACCTACAGAATTATAATATAGCAAATTGAAATTGTTTGAAGCCACTGAGTTGGTGTTGACTTGTTATAATAGTGCTAGAAATGTTAGTTTTTGCCAACTTGACACAAATTGAGGAAGAGAAACCTCAGTTGTGGGATTGCACATGTTTGATTGGCCTCTAAGCACATCTGTGGTGCATTTTCTTTTCTTTCTTTTTTTTTTTTCAGGTTCAACAATTTTTTTAATCACACAAAAGAAAACATTTCTTCCATCTGAAACAGAACAGAAAAACAGAATAATTAAAAAGTAAATCTAGTTCTTAACTTTTTATTTTCTGAGACAATGTCTCAATGTGTACTCCAGGCTGGCCTTAAACTCAGAAAGATCTACCTGTTCTGCCTCCCTACCTCTGGGGTTAAAGGGCAGTTTAACTGCTCTTCTTAAAGCTCCCAGTGACTACAAAGGCAATTTGAAAAAGTTTAACATGTTTAACGTTCTCACATCTTGAGTCCTAGAACCTGATAGCACACATGTTCAGCAAGAATTGCCTTGGCTGTCAGCATTTTCTTAATTAATTGTTAAAAAGAAATACCCCCAAGTTGCTTTTCGTTAATAGGGGAAAAAAACAACCTAGGACACATACTAATAGAGTTATTATTGTGCCTTGTCTATTTTAAGTCATTAGTTATCAAGTAGGCAACATTAAATAATTTTACTGAAATGACTTATAGACATTTAGTATTTAAGCTATAGTATATGTACTAAAAACAGTCCTTGTAAATAGACAGTACAGTTGTAATCTTTTACTGTTGTTTGCAAGCCTTAAAACAATGAGGTTCTAAGGACTGTAAAATACATCAAAATCTATAGTTTTTTTGAAATCACATAAGGCAATAACCAAAGAAATGTAGACAGCAAAGCAGATAGAAAAATTTACAAAGAAACTTTATTTATTTAATTTTATTTTTTGGTTTGGAGAGCTATATGAAGAAGTTCTGAAAGACTTATATAGAGACTTTATACCACAAATCCTTCCAACATTGGAGAGTCTGGAAGTTTATAAGTCAAAAATCTAACCTGATCATTTATGTTTGGTAATATATATTTCCACGTAGCACACACTTGTGCACACAAACATATATCAGTGAAAATAATTTCATATGTGAGGATGTAGAGATGGCTTATCACTTAAAAGCACAGGCTACTCCTCCAGAGGATTCAGGCTCAATTACCAGCACTCACATTGCAGTTCACAACTGTTTATAACTCCAGTCCCAGGGAATCTAACACCCTCTTTGGGCCTCCATGGACAGAAGACACATACATGATACATAGACATACATGGAGGCAAACCATCCATACACATTAATATAAATAAATTAAATTAAAAATACTTCCAAATATGAGACAATTTTTTTACATTGTTGTATTGTAATATCAATAGCCTTAGGACAGAATATACATTTAAAATGAAAAAGAATTCAGTGATTGCCTTTGAATTCCAATACTGAAAATTTGGTAAAAATACTTAATTTAATTAATTATGTCTGTCAATGGAATTTTAAATGAATGAATAAGAAGCGAATACAGCAGATGCTGTGAAAATTAAAACTGAAGAAACACTATCAATTTGTAGTTATAGAAGGAATCACACAGACACCCCCACCCCACCCTTATATCCTACTATAATACAAGCAGATTGTTTTAAAAATTATATTGTTGATGATTTGGAATAACAGGATAATCCAACAGTAAATGATATTAACATTTTCCAGTACCTTGTAAGAAGTTGCAACTCGTAATGAATAAAGAAAGCTTGGAGGGACATCTACACAAATACCACAAATAGTGAGAAAATACATAATGCTGTAAAAAAGGATGTTCCCAACATATTTAAAGGTAGCATTTCATATGCACTTGAATAATTTACCTCCCAAATTTTTGTTCGCTTTTATTATGTATATTATGTGAAACAGTAAATTAATTTAAAAAGCATGATTTGATGGGTGAAAATAATGGAAATCATTAGAAATCCCATGATTACTATCTCTTCTCCCTTAATGCATCTCCCTCCAATAACTTCATTCTAGTTTTTTGGCATCCACTTATCCAAATGTTATGCACAGAAATATTTGAAGTTAGGGTCCACATATGGGAGCAAACATGAGA